CTGTCCTTGGTCCATTTGACGCTCGATATTGCGGGGGCAGGGGGGTGGTATAAGTAAGGGCTGTTCGGGAGGTTTATGCACTCACGACGACGTGGAATGATTGCTGAGACAAGTCCCTGGGCGTCTGTGTTCGACCACCAGGGGGTTTTGGTTCGACCACGGCAAAAGTCACGTCCGGCAAACCGCAGTGACAGGAGGAGACGGTGTGTGCGCATTCTCGTTGAGAATTCATGATCAGACGTCAGCTGAAGAACTCATCCTGGCCGATGATTGGCCACCATCCGCAGCCCTCAGTGGCCTACGCTTAGGCGGATAAGCAACCGGTAGTACGCTGAACCTCGATTGGCCGAAGAACGAAGCCGAGTCATCATAGGTGGTTCGTAATCGTGTTAGCGAATCGCGGGGCCAGCCTCGGTGGGCGCCGACGAAGAGAGTGGGGCCCCACGAAGAGAGCAACGAAAAGTGTGAGCGGAATCGCTGGCGAGATGGTCCCCGGTCAAATGATTCGTGAGGTAGCGATTGTGTGTAACTGGGCGAACTTATGTCGACATTCACATTCATCGGAAAATGTGTACACGTACCGGAAACCGAGAGCCCCACACATTTCGCGAGTGCAATGAGATTTCAAGCTTACCAGTTGATTGCCTTGCTTGCTGGCCACTGTCTTGCCACCGATAGTACCGAAGTCGACTGCGAAGACGCGGCAGCGATCAATCCTGCGCTAGATAATATGAGCTGTTGGATGCAGTGCAATAACATTAAAGCAGCCGGTGGCAACCCCCTGGACGAACCTTCCTTCAACTCGGACTGCAGCATAGAGAAGATCGAAATGGTCGACGGTGTTGTGACCAACACCGGCTCCTGCTTCGACAGCTGGATCTTCGGCTACGCCGACCCCCCGGAGCTTGCCGGGTACGACCACGTCGACAATTCCCTCAGCGCCGCGAAGTGCCAATTGCTTTGCCAGAGCGATGACAGGTGCGTCCGATTCCAATTCACCGCAACCAGCTTGGGAATGAGCGCTTCCGGCTTGCCCAAGTACCGCTGCGTTTTCAAGGACGCCGACCAGGTGGTCAGTATACTCGAGGGCGACCCCGGCGGCCAGGGCTTTAATTCCGACACCTGCGACACTCAGTCGACCAATGGCTGCTCCACCGTTGGCGATTGCCT